ATAAGTTATCCAATGCCTGTTTAATAAATTCATCTTTATATATTGCACATATTTATTTATATATTTATTTTATATTAATATTGAAAGTGGACACACGCAAATCACACCAAACATTCATTATATAAATTTTAGAAATCTTATTTTTTTAATTTATCAAAAGAAAGTCCTCGTAGCGGGAACAAGTAATAATAATAATGCATGCTTTTATAATTCTGAATAAAATTATAGAATCCATAATTATTCCAAAATTAATTATGCCACTTATAAGTTTTGTAACAACAAAATATTATACACGTTGCAGCGTTCTGTAAAAAACATTTTTCTGATTATAATAAATAAAATAATCATAGAGTTCACGACCGGCTACACAATTATAAATCACATAGGCATTACATCAAAATATTATATCTTTATTATTCATATATAAATGTGGTATATAATATGTACACGTATATAGACTCATGTAAATTATACATTCTTTTAAAGCTAGGTACATAGATGTTTTGTGCAGTAAAATTCGAAACATTCTCCCCTGATTTCGATAAAATCGTCCGATCTTTTATACATTGGCAACTAAGCCCGATTGTAAAGTCCTGCAGCAAGACAGTCTCATACTGCGATAGGTACAAATGTAAAAGCCAAAATGCGGTCAGAAGAGCGAAACGAATCAAAAATATATTGTTGGTCGGTTATTTCACTATATTCATATCTCTTCAAGGCACATTTGAAATATAATCAGTACATTCTTTTGCAAACTACGGAGAAACCTATTAACGTTACATAACGTTGCGTAACGTTACATCCTTCCTATCCATTTCACAAAGAGTTCACAAAGTTAAATTGTTAATAAAATTATAGAGTTTTATATACACACACGTATAGAAAAAGAGAAAAATAGAGTTTTATACATGTCATAGAGAATGAAAATACAAGAGAAAAGGAAAAGACAAAAAAATCATTAGAAAAATATAAAATATTAATAACTCCTTTTTAGCCAAAATCACAGACAAGTCTCTACTTTCTCAAACAGAGCACAAAGTCGCATCCTCTGGTCTTAACGCTAAATATACAATGTATATATAATAAGATATATATGTGTATATATATATATATATAGCTGATATAAATATTATAAATATACATTCACATATGCAAGTAGTCTTATCACTCTATTACATGCATACACGAATATACGCGTATTTCAGTACATAGAGATAGTCATCTAACATGCACTCGTGTATACACTTGAAAATCTATAAACATTTAAACTGACACGTGTAATATAGCGTGTATAGCGTGTATGCATGTATAACATATAAACAATGGTCGCACATATATCCATATTTTGATTATACCCTTTTTGATGTTCAAGTCGGATCGTAAAGGATATTCCACATCTCGTATCTATATATAATACTGCACCTATACCTATGTACATCGAATGCTGATAGAATAAAATAAAATAAAAAGTAAAGTAAAATATATTTTCGCTTCTACACATTATTGGAAATAATAATGAGAATAAATTCTTCTCGAGAGTCACACTTTGCGCCCAGTAAAATCGTCTCAATCATGCCAATTCACGTATGCAATTTTGTATGTATAAAAGAATAGCAACAAGTTAAGAAAATAAGACATATATAAATCTTCCTCGTGAAAAAATAGAATGTACAATGCGTGTTCATATCCTGTTCTATCCATTTAATTAAATCCATCTTCGTATAGTCACAGCTTCGCATTATCTAATCAGATTTATTGTTGGCATTATTACGATTCATAGAAATTCTTATGAAGATTTTAACGAGGAATAGATAAAGGTATGGATAATTAAGGATATTATCATAATTATCGAACTTAGTAACACATGACAAAATAATTACTATTTGCATTAAAATAATCAATTATACTAGATAACTTAACTGTTTTATGTACAACTAGGAGAAACATAAATAATAAAGTAATATATCTATTCCAAACCGTAATTAGAAAATGACTTTTCACAAAATAAACTGTAAAAAAAGATATCCTTTACCTTCCTATCTTTTCGATAAAACTGTTATTCCAAATAAAAAGAATACGTCCCTCACATACTGAATAATGGAATAATCTATAGTCAATAGCAGTCGTAATATTAATATTTGTAATAGTAAAGATTAACAATAAAGATATTAACAATAATCATTATGTTATCGATACTGTAGCAGTATCGTTTATAACAGCACTTGAAAAAGTATGTTTTAATAGTCCCGGTGATAGGAAATTGCATGGAGAAAACTTAATAAAGTTTTGGTTTTTATAGTGCGACCTTACACAATTAAGCGTTATTTTTGGTAAGTTTTGTTCTATTGGCGGCAACCGTTGCAAGACACGCTAGAGCTTCAAGATCTGGAGATGCGCACCAAGCTATCAATGTGCAAAATATCAATTAAAGCTTATGTCATACATACAAATTTAAATATTTAATAAAAGTATCAACATGTCCTAATGATTAACATAGAATTCTTAAACGACATAAAAATAATTACATGAATTATATCTAAAAATAAATTGCAGTAAGGCTTTTATCTGCGGTATACTGACAATTATACAGAAAAAGAAAATGTACTTTGTATATTTTCTCTAACTATAATAAAATTACCATTAATATAAATGAAAGCACATATTAATACACATTTTCAATTAACTTATTAAGAAAAATTACTTACATTTGTTTTGTTCTTGATCCTCAGAATGTTTGGTAGAATTTATTGCCGCAGCATTTCGTGTGATGCTTTGCTTTCGTGCTTTCCGTTTCTGGCTTCCAACAAGATGGGCTTTCTCTGATTCCTCGTAACTCTCATTTATTGTACTAACTCTTTGAGTCTGACTACCAGAAGACGAATTATTTTGATGTTTCTTGTTAGCTGAAGAATTGAATTTTTGCAAAATTTTCTTTTTTTTCGTACGTTGCTGTTTCTTCTTTTCTTGAAATTCCTCTAGACTCAAAGACGGCAATGCCTCGATTTTCTTCTCCAAATTAAAATCTCTACAAAAATATTTATGTATATAACACACTGAATAATATACTGTTTATAATATGTCAGCTATCAAATGTATCTAATATAGTATAAAATATATTAAAATAAAATATAAGATGTAAGATGTTATTTATACAGGAATAATTCTGAAAAACATACTCGGCTCGAAATCTTTTACGTGCTGTCCAAGGTCCATAATCCACTTGATCTTCGGCACCTTCAGTTTCTGTATCTTCAGGTTTGGAAGCTTCCATTTTTCCTTCAGCACTAAATATATTTTCAAATTATTTCTATGTATAAAAGATTACCCACATGCCCTGAAAAAACCTAAAATATCAAGAAATATGCTACCTTTCTACAAGATGTTCTAAATCTCCACGAGAACTGTTTCCTCCTTCGCTACTTAAGGAATCTGTTTTTTCACTAACGTTTGAAGAAATTGAATTTCTTCTTTCATTTGGACGTTCATCGTGTCTAGAACAATAAAATGTATTTCTTAACATTATAGATGACAAAATAGATAATAAAAGTTAGATATAGGCCTGTTTATTTTAGCTGAATTTTTGCACGGTTCATCTTTCCTCTTTTTCTTTTCACGTTGGAGAGAAAAGGAGAAAAGATAAACTGTGCAAGACGTTCAGCTAAAAAACGAACAGACCTTATTCCGTATCTCAAGAAAAAAGTTTTAATTACTTACCCATGACTTCCAACTATTCGCCTTCGTTTGCCTTGTTGACCCGAAGGCCCGATATTCTGCTCAGCAAGAAATTTTTGGTAACGTAAACCTTTACATGTCCTTTCACTACGAAAATTATTCTCTTCTGGTTGTGTATGTGTTGTCACAAAAGAATTTATCGTATGTTTATCATCTTCTATGATCTAAAATAAATTTTTAATTGATTATATACTGCATAGATACTAACAATATACCATTACAATTGAAAATATTTCAATTAAACTTATACCTTCATAAGCAGCTCGATTCTTACCGTTTCGTGCTGTTCGTTGTTGTTTGACTCAGCTCTTTTTCTTTTCTTTTCGCCAAAGAGGTCTGTCTTGCAGTCCCTCTTCTGATCACTTTGGAAAGGTGATTCTGTATACCTCTTTTTGGGTGGTTTTGGTGGGGCAGAATCAATTTCTGCAATACCATTGACGGTCTGTTCCTCGGACACCTCTGACTTTTGAGGAGTAAAGAGAGAACTGAGCCCACCAATCTGCGATTCGTCCGCTAATTTGCCTGGCTGAATCGATTGTCCGTCCCGTCTGTCTGATTTTGTACAATCGGAAGACTCATATTCAGTTTTGACACTATCTGTGGATTGCACACCGCTACTCGACTCTTGCTTCTTGTTGGTAGGCCTAGTATTTAAAGTACGTAGCGGAGGTGCTGGTAATTTGTACCACTTGAAGTCAGGATTTGCGTTTAGAAATGCATCCTTGTACTGAAAAAGAAATAATTATGCTACGTGTTGTATCTGTCTTTCTATATATACATAGATCTAATAGTAGTTGGATAAAATAATTTTATTCTTGATATGGTACAACTTTATTCTGCAAAATAACCGGTTCATTAATTTTTCATACGACTATCCTTACTTCCTGTGCGAGATTTGTGTAGGAACGTTTCTGATCGGGATGAAGGGTTGCCCACCATTCACCCAAGACTCTGGTGACTGCCCTGTTTTCCAAATGCGGAAAGCCAGATCGCACTGAGCCGCGATGCCTCTTACAAAAAATCAGAAATGCATTCATGGGACGTCTCGCATGATGGGCTGGTTCCCTGGCTTCACGCGATTCCTGTTTATTTACACACAATAATTTGCGTCATTATATATATTAGACAAATACATAAAATTTAATAAAAACTAAATAATAGCCAATTCACATGTGACATTTATTTATATTCATGTACATATTAAAAACGTATGACAAAGAACACACAATAATAAGACGTATATTCGTATCATGTTCTTATTTAAATGAGAATGATTCATGAACATACATCCAGATTGCGTCCAAATAAACACTGTAATAAATATACGAGAAACATCTATATAACATGATGCAATAATAGATTGTGCGTATTTCACAATACCTTTTTGATTTAAAATATCATTTATTCTCTTATATATTTTATTTAGAAAGAGAGAGAAAGACAAAGGATCACTGAAAAAATAAATATGGCTTATTTTTAGTAAGAATTATTATATGTAAAATTCAAAAAAACAAAAGATCAGTCTTCGCACAATCCTGATTCATCTGTCTCTAATCACAGTGAAATATCTATGTCACATAAACGTATTCAAAATTTTTGTTGTGACCAGTGACTTCTAACATCCTGAATAACATTATTAGCAAACTAGGATATTCTAGGCAACACGTTTGACAAGTTCGGAGATAAACAACAAAAATGCGCCGTTCCCACTCCCCTGCATTAGGAAATATCTATCATGTGTATCATCAAGTTTTGCATCATAGCCATAAGTAGCCATGTTGCTGGGTCGGTGAAGCCTTAAAGTGACACAGCCTTTAAAGTGACACAGCTTGTCAAGTATCCCGGGTCGTCGCGTATCCGCCCGGTTGAAACTTTTGCGCTCGACATTGATCCACATCTAGCCGATTTTATCCGACCCCGAGCTCGAAGGCAACGAAGAAAAAGAATGGGAAACGCGTTCTCGTGGATCTGGCGAACCAGATTACCAGATCCCGATCCCCGCGGTCGGCCGAAAATAAACGAGAAAGTTTCGCCGCGCGCGGAGAGCGCAGGCAGGCAGGCAGGCAGGCAGGAAAAGCGCTAGTCCTGTTGCACACAAAATGGATCATGTGCGGCACAATTGCGACATATGTCTCAACGGGAGAGCGTACACGGGGCCGTGTGAATGGGGAAACTTGTCCGTCCGTTTATCCGTCCGCGATCGAAGGCATCGGGGCCGATAAATCCGCGTGTCTCTCTCTTTCTCTCTCGGGCCGCGCCGATCGGCGAGGTTCCTTCTCTCATGCAAATCATGCGCCGTCGCGCTTATCCGCGACGATGACATGACACACGGACGTTTCGTGACAGGGAGCCAACACGAAGCGTTCCGTACGCTGATGATGTAGCGTACGGCAATTAACGCTCGGCTCGTAACGCGCGGCGATGATTCGTGTACCGTTCGCGGCGATCCCCGCAATCGATTCGACACTCGCGGCCGCAAAGCTGGGGGGGAAAAAAAAAAGAACGAGGCGTTTATTAACGGGAAATGCAAACACATGTACCGAGACGTAGACGACGGAAAGGCGAGATTCCCGACGATCGAACGGGAGAACTTCCGTGAGAAAGGAGATCGGCGCAAAAGGCGGACGGAAAGTGAATCGCAGATCGCAGCCCCTCGCCGCGATTTCTTAATTCCTTCTCGATCGTCGATCCTCGCAACGTTGTTCTCGCCGGAACAATTCCCTCGACGTCGGAGTGTCGCGGAGACAAAATTGTCGCATATGCTTTGTACTCGAGCACGAAATATCGCGCGACCGCCCCGGAAAGAGCTCGTCCCTCCTCGTGCCAGATTTCTCGCACGAGCGTCCACGAGGAATTCCCGAGGGGCGCAAAGGCGGAAAGAAAGAAAGAAAGAAAGATAGAAAGAAAGAAAGAACGAGGGAAGGAGACGGGGACACGGTATACCCGTTGGACGGGAATTCGAGCAGCGCCCCGAGAGCTGTCACGCGTTGAAACGCCAGAGCTCGCGTCGAACGGCTTTACGGCTCTATTTCGTCGCTGCGCTGCGCCTCGAGCCTCGATTGCACCGTCAGCAAAAGGTTCCGCGCGGCCGCGGGGGTACCCCCTCGCAAGAGAGCGGATAAGAAAACAAGAGCGCAGCGCGACTCCTCGGCTCCTCGGTCGTCGTCGTCTCTCACTCTCTCTATCTCTCTCTCGGAGGAGTCTTTTTTTCGTCTTATCGGGGGGGAAAACCAGGGAAAAACGCACAACGCACACGGCCACTCACGTCGTGATCTTCGTGATCCTCGTCGCGCATCTTGGGACGCGATCGCACCGTTCGTCGCGCACTGACAGCTGCTCGGCTGACCGATGTAAATACGGGCGACCGATTGCGCGATCTTTGAATGAAGACGTGCGATTATCCGGGAATGCGAATGCGGGGGGAGGGAGGGGGGCGCACGCGAGGGGGAAACGTTTATCCCGGGGATCCGTCGTCCGTCGTTCAATGTTCGGTCGTCGACGGTCGTTCCGTTCCTCGTCGACGTGACGAGTCACGACGAACGTCGTTTCCGTCCTCGTCCACCGTCGCCTCGCGTCGCACGTTTCCGTCGATGTCGCGCAAAAACGACGGAAGAACGTCTCGACGTATAGACGTATACGTCGCGTTCCCCACAGTAAAACGGCGGCGAGAGAAACGAGAGACGGATCGCGGATCGCGCGTCGTGACTTTTGACACAAAAGCGACGCGCCGCGCGCGCACGTTTCGTCCCGCGGGATCGACGGGGCAGCGCGAGACCGCGCCGCTTCGGTCACCGCCGGCGCGCGGTGAGAAATCCGCGCGGCCGCCTCGCGCTCGCTCACCTTGCGCTGTTGCTCGTTGGCAGCCATTGCTGATTTCACTTGACAATTCACTCAGCGGCGCATGATACGGACACGACGGGGCACAGATAAAGGCCCGTTCCACACTGGCCGCGCCGCCCGACGACCGACTCGATCGCTCCTCCGTCGCTCGCCGTGACGCTCGCTCGCGCGCTCTCCCTCTCGCTCGTTTCCACGTCCACCCGCCACCGTCCTTCTCTCACGCTTTGCGCTTTGCGCGAGCACTGCTCTCTCCCCTCCTCCGCCCTCGTCCCGCTTCCCACCGACGCGCACGCTTGACACACGGACACCGCACTCGGCCCACGTGAGAGAGAATTCTCGTAGGATACAGTGTACAGCGTGTGACGTCCGTTTGCTCGCTCTACGTCTCTCTTTCTCTCTCTTTTTCCTCATTTCTTTCTCTCGCCAGACGCACACGCGTGTCTAAAAAAATATCGTAAAAACGTCCTCAAGATGTTTTTTAGACACGTATATATCTAAAAGATGTTTTGATGATATCTTTATGAAGTCTTTTAGGCAAGCGTGCCGTCTGGGTCTCTCTCTTTGTCGTCTCTCCCTCGTTTCCCGCATCATCCGGAAACGAAGCTCGCGCGACGAATAAAACGTCCAACGCGCAACCGCGATCGTCGGACGATCGCGGAATCCCGGAGATATCTTCGCCGACGAGCTTTTCAATGAAACGTCGCGCGACCGTCGACGTCACGTCTGCGTCTCGCTACGGCAGATTCGCGCGTCTTCGCCGTCATCTCCACACCGGGAGGCCGGGTGCGAGCGATCTCGGGAATTCACGTCGGCGTTTCCGGCCAGCGTCGAGTTCCGCGCACCGTTGGGCCCTTTGAATTGTCGCGCGCCGCAGATCGACGCGCGCACGCGCGCTCGCGCCTCCGCGAAAGTCCCTAGGCAGCGCGCGCACGCCGCAACAGCTGATCGCCGTGCGCAGCGTCGACGCAACAGCTGTCGTTCGGATGATTGTCAAATTTAGAGCCGTCACCGCGCCGTCGCCGCCGTCTCCGTCGCTACTCGCCCGGCCCCCCTCGGCGAATTTAGTCGCGAGGGGGGAGAGGAAAGGACAGGGAGCGAGCGAATGAATCACTTTTTCGGGTGTTCTCTCAAAGAAAGATCGGATAAGAAACGTAGAATGGCATGTAAATAGCGTTATCTATTTCTCCGTCTCTCCCTATCGCTTTTTTCCCTTCTCTGTCTCTCTCTTTCTCTCTCGCTCCCGTCGGAGTATCTGTTATTTACGCTTTTGATGAGAACAAAGCTGAGAATAGATATCCGAGGAAATTGGCTTGGGGCGAAACAGATTAGGCTTAGGAGAGCTCTCGTCGCACTGACGCGAGGCATCGACGGTACATCGATAATCTCGTGTGACACTGACTATAAAGGATTGTGTAAGTATATATATAAGATATACGTCACGCGTCCACGCATTATACGTGTCTTTATTGTTTCAGGATAAAGAGCAAGGTTCGAGATTAATGGACGCTGTCGCTTGGCCGTTGTGCGCGCTGGGCGTGATATATTTAAAAATAAAAGGGTAAAAATATATCGTTGACAAAAAAACAGTATTTTTATGCTTTTTAACGTAGATCATTTATCAATGACGATAATGACGATAGCGATGGGACAGTTCGTCATGCGACTCGTTTTATTCCCTTCAAGCTCTACTACGTTTCCTTTTAATTCATTAAAGAAATAACATGATATTTCACAGAAAATATATCTTAAGATTCTGGGGTTCTTAAGGTGATCCTAAAGCCGTGATCCTGACCGGTTTTTTTCAGTTTTTTTTCTTAGCACTAATCTTTTAATTGGCTTTATAGAAATGCAAAATTCTTGTCTAGAATTAAAGTACGCATCAAAATCTAGGTCATGGTGGTCGAATTTATATCGGGAACGAAAAAAAATTAATATTTTTTGTTATGACGACCACCACATATAAATTCGACCACCATGACCTAGATTTTGCGATTTTGCCTAGATGCGTACTTTAATTCTAGACAAGAATTTTGCATTTCTATAAAGCCAATTAAAAGATTAGTGCTAAAAAAAAAACTGAAAAAAACCGGATAGGATCACAGCTTTAAGATCACCTTAACGTTCAAGTTTACGTTATAGTGCACTCCGATAATATCATCATGATAGCGCACGTATCAAAATAAAAAAATCTCTGCTAATCACGCAAATAAAATGACAACTTTTGTCATCCGCTAAATTATTCCAACGCGATACGGCTATAAATAAGGAGAATATATCAGTTTTTGTGCCACGTGCTTATTTTCTACATATATACACACACACACCGACAATAATGTGCAATGCGGCCATGAATATGAATAAATACGCGCCACGCGTTTTCTTTTTCTTGGACATCTTCCTTCGAGCGCGATATAATTCCGTCCGTACGTATTTACGTTCTGTTTACCACATATGTGTAGATAGCGAGGCACGAACTATACGACAAACATTTAAGCTTGGTTCCACTCCGTAATGATTACGCTTCGTCCGATTGTCATTCGCGATAACAGGCATATTTATATTTAACCACTTCCATTGTTGATAATATTCATTTCGTCATAATTGCAGCCGCGTTTTGAACGGAAATAATTATGTTTGCTTCAGCTTAAAACGTTGTTTTTTTTTATGCACAAACGTGCATGCATTATACAAGCGGAAAAATATAAATTTTTCTGACGAGGCGAGAAATGATTTTCATTGAAAATATTTAATACGTTCGAGAACAAATTTTCAGTTATTTCTTTGTCTCATAATATTTAATACTTTTGAGAAAATATATAATGTATAATTCGTCAAAGTGTCGCTAGAATTTTTATGCGACAGTCGATAAGGTGGAAATTCCCGCTCACTTTTTGATCGACTGCACTTCGGATCGGTCATTTGAATCGCTCGAATTGTTTGTGGCGCCCCGCGCGGGAAGACTAGGAACTGTCTGGATTCAAATCGCGGGTCGCAAATACGACAGTCGGGTTCAGAGTTTCAGAGCCGGTCTTAATAAATATCGGGGGGATCTTGGCAGTCATCCCGTCGTCTATTTGCCATGGATTTGCATCCGGATTAGAATGAATGAGGTATACGTTGGTATGCGTTCCCCCGGGGGAAACAGGGATTTCCTTTCCGCGCGTGCAAATAAATCGCGAGCTATCTCTTCGAAACTGATCCACCCTGGGAAAGTAATTTTCTCAGAGATTTTGCACGAACTCGGTTGTAGTTATTCGATCGCGTTATACACGATGAATCCGTCATTCCCGCTTTTGGCGACAGCCTATTTCGCGAAAGAGGCACGTGCGACGTTAGCGTAGATCGTAGATAAACGGATATAGTTTATTTGAAATATTATTGTTTTTACAGATTATACTACTTGGTGGAACTGTGCCGTTCGTCACAGCGGAATTTTGACGAAATCGTGATGGTGTCGCGGCGGTCCCGCAGCGAAGGAACGAAAGGTTGAATCACAGAACTTCGACGATTCGGTGAGTCGTGCGATCTTAAAGTAATAATTAATGATAAAGAGGATGAGAAATCTGTTAACATGTTTACCTCCGATTTTGGAGTTTGTTTACTCCTTTATGACAATTTCCCACATTCATGTTTTCTATGAAAAAGAAACATCTTTAGATTTTAATTTATTATATTTATTATGATATGATTGATATTAATGTCTAATGTCAAAAACAGGAATGAATTTAACGTTTTTTTTCGCCCTTGACAATTTTTATATTTTGTATATTCATCTACATATATATACATATGTATATAGATAGTATTTTTACATTCATTATCAGAAGTGAAAGGAAAATTAATATATATATTTTAAATTGCATATAAAATAACATCTCTCTCTCACTTATTATTTTTTATATTCTTTAATTTAATGACAAAGCAATTTTTTTCATACTAAATGAAAACAGTTTCTTTTATTTCCAGGATGAATTAAAATGTAATTTAAAAATAGCTACAAAAGTAAATCTAAAATATTAAAATTTGTAACTAATATATTTGTGATTATTGTAAATTGATGAGATTTGCAGTTTGCACCTATTACTAGATTGCTCCTTTTTTTTCGACGATCCGATCTAGGCAGCGAATCCGCTGCAAGTTACGTGTCTTTCTTGTCGAATATTGCGGAATTTAATTTACGTGTTACCCTTTGTTTATACACTCTTCTTCCCTGTCCTCCCCGTACGATGTAAACTCATATAAAAGTCAATCTCTGGCATCCGTTGTCTCATAGCGATCGGGCGCTATGATCTGCATGCCTTTGATCCGGCTGGATGATTTTTTGGCCTTCCGAGCGACTCAAACAAAATTCTTTATCAGATTTCTTTAAGTTTGCTCGAAAGTTTACCTGTAATAATCTTCGTCGTCTACCGATATTCCTTTTTATAAGAGAACGGCATTTTTTAATTAAAATCCTAATAATTCGCAATAACTTTACATTTTAAATTTTCTGCTGCCACGATGATACTTTTAATTACGTCGCGTTTTAATTATTTCATATCTTTATTGTTTCTTTAAAAATATTTTCGCGCGTTTTTATGTATTTTTACCTGAACTAATCTTATATTGCGCGTTTGACGCCTTCAGTTCTATTTTTTTTTGTCGTACTCACAAACAGTATAGCTCACACTGTGAGTATACTGCTAACTTACTCTAACTTGCTTACGAAATAGATGACTTTCAGTTCGTTTAATCCTTTAGGAAAACATCGTTCTAGGTGGGCGATGACGGGCCGAAATCCTTTTCACCGTCGATTAGATTTGTCTTTATTCGTGATACGAGAAGCGAAACGGGGGAACGGCGCGGCGCCGAAAGAGATTTGAGATCAAAAGCTCATGGAGGGTAAAGCACGTGCGGCTGATGTGCGAACAACAATACTATAACTCATTTACGCAATTCTGATTGGCTTAAGACACGCGGTGTCCTTCCCCCTTTTGATTTACGAGCACGTCTCGTCCGTCTCGTTGCCAGTCTCCGGCTAGTCTCTTCTGAGATTTATTCCGCCACGACGATAATCAAGTTTGGCCTCGATAACCAAATTGCATTTTTACTCACGAGATATATATATATATATATACGGTACCCGAGATTTCTCACAACTATTCAGGGCTATTCCTTGGTAAAAGTTCTAGTAAAACAAGTAGTGTTGAATTAAACATTTTACATTTAACAACCTTCAGGAATTAAGTTTCAAAAAGCTGCGAATAGATAAGAAAATCTTAATTCTTCCCCTCCTTTAACTGTAAGTAAATTATTCTTCATTTTAAAAAAAGTTTCTGAATAAGTTTCGCTCTTATAGAATTTTAACTTAAGACGAGCCTCAAATTATGCACATATTTAATAATATGAAAAAATTGGTTTCTTCAGCTGAATTTTCGTCGAGAAAAAATTCGCTTTAAGTTGTTCTCGTATATATGTAATATGTATATATATCATCCCGAACTATATATCCTCGTACATACTGGGTATCCCAGTTTCG